CTGACATCACATAAATACATATAAAAATCAATATCGTCAGTAACACCACAAAAAAGATTTCCATTATCTTGTAACCACCACTGATCTAATCCAATTGGATCTTTATGACGTGAATATTCATTACGAAAATTCAATTCAATATATCGGGTGTCCCAACTGAAATGTCCCTCTATATATTTTCCCAATATCTTGGTAAAAAATCATCGTATTGACGCAAGTTTTTTTTTAAAAGATGCAGAATTAAATTTTCTATAGATCTATCGGAGTAATATGCATTAATGATTAATTAAATTTGTTTCAGATAATGAAAAGTAAAGATTTACAAAAAATTGTTCTTTCAAAATATCAGAACGGCGATGGTCCAACCAAAATCTTTCGGGATTTAGGTGGAGGACTTTGCTTAAAAACAGTCAAAAGATGGTGTAAGATGATAGATGAAACTGGATCGATTAATCTCGCACCATCTATGGGCGGCTCACGCACTATTCGAACAGTGGGAGCTATTCAAAAAGTGAAAAATCGGATGAAAGGGAAAAGAAGAGTCTCAGTTCGAAAATTGTCGAATGACCTGGGGATCTCCCGAATGAGTATCGAGAGAATCTTAAGAGATGATCTAGGGTACTATCCGTACAAAAAAATTGCTGAACCTTTTCTCACTGATGTTCATAAGTCTGAGAGAAAAAAGTTCGCAAATTGGGTGCGAACGAATTTCCGGAAAGAGCAAACAATGAAAATTCTCTTTTCGGGCGAGAAATTCTTTGACATCGATGGTGTTTACAACGTTCAAAACGATCGAATCTGGGCACCCAATCGTACCGAAGCTAACAAAAAAGGTGGAATTATGGGAAAAAGAAAGTTTCCTCAAAAGGTTATGGTTTGGCTGGGCGCATGCTCCAAGGGTATTACTCCTTTAGTCATTTTTGAAAATGGAACCTTGGATCATGCCCGATACATTGAAGAAGTTCTTCCTGTGGCCCTTAAATATGCTAATAAGACATTCGGCAATGATTGGTTGTTTCAGCAAGATGGAGCTAAGCCGCATATTCATCATTTAACTCAAGAATGGTGTCGAAAGAATTTTCCAGCATTTCTGGATAAAGACCGTTGGCCTGCAAATAGCCCGGATTTGAATCCACTCGACTACTGTATCTGGGATGAACTAGCGGGAGCAATGAATTGGAATCAAGTTACATCAAAACAAACATTGATTGAAGAACTAAAACATGGTTGGAGAAAAGTTCGATCCGACGTCGTTTTGGAAAGTTGTAATTCATGGACTGCTCGTTTGTTAAAGGTTTTAAAAAACAATGGAGAACATTTGAATAAATAAAAGAAGTTGATTTTTGTAGAGAATTAAATTCTACGTTTTTTAAAAAAAATTAGGTCGCTACGATTATCTTTTATTGGGCTATTAAAAAAATACGCAGAGGGACATTTCTGTTGGGACACCCGATATATCTGGCAAGAAACTAGAAAATCAGATTGGTGTGCTCGTGGATCCAATTCGATGAACGAGAAACTGTAAGTAGTTTCTATAAAAAAAAGTGGAGAGAGATTTTAATATGGGTCATCAAATGCAACGATAGTCGTCATCGACATTCATAGCAATAATTCGACTACATTGAATAAACACTATTTAATTTCGATTGAACAAAATGTTGTATTGTAGCATCACAAAATGTAATAAAATAACTTATTTCATAATAAAATGAGAAGAGATATTCTAGAAATATGGCAAAACTTTGTATCATTGGAACAACAGGATATGAAAGTCATGCTGAAATCTTGTCAGTTAGTTTTGTGACATGAATAAATCTTCAAGAAAAGACTAATGGTTAATACAATAAATATGTCTCATGTGTTTGTCGTTTCACACTTCACAGTTGTTTCACCACAAAAGGTTGTAGATAACTACTGAGAAGTGTTAGAGAGTAATTTCAGGGTACTGCATGTCGATTTTTATTGGTCACAATTCTTCAAATATTCATTGTTCGAATATTTTCTATGTCTGTTTGCATTAGTTGTTGTTTTTTCATTCTGGTAATTCATTTGTATGTTAGGATTTGGATTAAAAAATAAGCTATAAACGATGGGAACGTATGTCAATAGAACTATTAACAAGAACTCGAATAAAAATTGGAATTCTCTAAACATTCATGGAACTTCGTGAAGTAGAAAAGTGTGCACCTTCTTTTCTTCAGTATTTATGCTTAACTGACAAAATTTATTTCCTAGTTTACTATCCGTATGCGATAAAAGACAGCGTGTCACATAATATTTTGCATTATAAAACATGGTTGTAACAAACAAAGATTACAAATCCAAATATAAGTTAGAAGAAATACACCTATATTAAACGTCTCATTTTATGCTTCAATTTAAGAAAAAGAAATTTCTATTCGATTGTATACGGTTTAACATAGTTTCAGAGACATTTCTCGGAAGACTTCATGCCTGTGATGAAAGACACTTCATTCTGTGCTTTTGTTTGACTAGAAATAATCAGCTTTTTTTCGTCACCTTATTACAGTGATTCGTTGAAATTAATTGCACTGTAATATGTCTTCACACATCTTAAAATAAACTAATGACAGTTGTAGTTTGTATCAAAACGAAGAGAACACTAGCCAATCAATCACATCGACTGATTATGATTCATTTGTGTAACTTTTAGTTTCAAATGAAAAAGAATTTCTCATCTACGGATGAAAGGCTTATCGTCCCATACATTGTTTCTCTAAGCCAATCAAAGAATCAATCCAGCCATTTTCTGTTCGAATTACATTTCCTATTAATTACTCGTGAGGAGTACCGCCATCTTTTGTTGACTATTCACTGATGAGGGAAAATATTTGTTTTTCACGCCTTCATTTCATCGATATTTTGTTTCATATTATCGTACACATTCAAAACAAATAACCTATAGTGATTATAACGCACTGTTGACAAATAATATCGGTACTCTTCCGTAGGAATATTAATCATCACTATTTCATTTCATAAAGAAAAAGCCAGTTTAACATTTTTTTTAATTATGAATAGTTCCTATTTCCCTAAGGAAACAGGAGTGGACCGAACTCGACGGCACTGCAGTGTCGAGACGATCCGTGGCACGGGTCCGAGTGAACTCGGGTGATCCCGGCCGATGTCCAAAAATCCGCTTGAAAGAGCCTGGCCCCAATGGG